TATCTTTTCATCTTTTGCTTTTCTTATGTTCTTATGTTATTTTATCTTATATTTATCTTTATCTTATCCATATTATCTTACTTTATCTTTCTATATTTCTTATTTTTCTTCTCTTTTTGGCTCTGATATCATGGATTGATTTATCATTTACATTAGCCGGTCTCAAAATCTTTTGGAAATAAGGCTTGGATGTTGTTGTTGTAAGCGCAGAGGTGGTTTCTTTTTAAAACAATTCTTGCATTTAGATGACCGTAAAGAAAGTACAGATTAACAATACATTATTAGACATTAGTTAGTAACAAAAACCAACTCCCATCCATCTACCTCCCAAAATCAGCTAGTCAAACAAGCCTTAAACTAAGGCATGTTGTATGTTAACAGGAACAAGGTTCCGGTCCTCAGATCGGCTTGCTAACAGGAACAAAATTTTCAGTTCCGGGCCAAGACCGAGGGCGAGTAAAGGGGAATCGGCCCGGCCCCCGGGTCGCATATTTTGAGACCGGAATCAGCCAATTGAGTCCTGCTTCCTGTCCTTTTATGCATGTCGCCATCGGGAAACAACTTAAAGTGTGGATCCATTCAAAAAGGCCAAATTACCAAATTGGAAAAAGGCCCCTCCCTAACTATAATTAATTCAACTTTAATAATTGAAATTTACATTTTCAAAAAACTACATTGAAATCTCTATAAAGTTTCAAAATCCAAATCTGAATATAATTAAAAATTAATATCTTAATTAAGTGAACAAAATTAAAGTGTTTTATAAAAAAGTTGACTTTGCAAAACAATTTGGGACTGAGAGAGTATAAGGATGAGAGTCTTTCAGCTTAGCTTAGGAAGAAGACATCAAGAATGAAGAAATGTGGTTGATAGACTTGTGGACTACTCCCTTTCTCCTCATGGAGTATATTATACTATCTTCGTCCCAAATTATTTTGAAAAGTCAACATTTTTTTATCAACCAATGTTAAAGTAAAATCCTCTCTATTGATAATTAATTCAATTTTAATCAGGAAACTACATCAAAATATCTACAAATTGCAAAATCCAAATGTAAATTTAATTAAAAATTGTTATTCTAATTAAGTTAGGGGTGGACAATCGAGTACAGGAATCGCGGGACGGGCCGGATAATACGGGTTCAGGGCGGGTTAGGGTCAGGTCCAAATTTTGGAAAACCCAAACGGGGCGGGGCGAGGTGGGTCCTAAAAAATTTAGGAACCATACAGGTATTAGAATTTGAAAAAACGGGTACCCGGACCGCGACCTGTTTTAAAATATATTTTTTTAAAAAGTCTATTATATTTAATTTACTCCCTCCGTCCCGAAAAAGTTTGTCAAATTTCCTTTTTTGGATGTCTCAAAAAGATTTGTCATTTCCATTTAAAGTAAGGAATATGTGGCTAAAGTTAATTTTCTCTCCTTTGCACAAATTTCAACCACACAGTTTTTACTTTATTAATCCACGTGAAAGTCAAAGTTGGTGAACCTTTTCGGGACGGAGGGAGTAATATACTAACAACACCCTAAAATTTTCATATTCATGAATTATTAAAAAGAGTTTCTAAATCTATACAAACTTCTAAATTATTATTCTCAATTCTTTATTCCAAATGCATCAAATTTTCTTTATTTTTAAACAAAGACTTGCTCAATAAAGTGTGGTATAATAATTTAATTATCTTAGTTTTACTTACATTTTGAGATTTATTAAGGTTTAAACTATTAAACATATATGTATAGTGACTAGTCTAATTTCTTAGGACCTAGTAGTGATATCTTTTTAGATTATGGATGACGATGTCTATTTTTCTACATTTCAAAGTTTGGTCTTACTACGTATTTAATTTGTGTAGTTGTGTGCTATTTAATTTATACATTTGTGGTTAGATATTTTGTTAACTAATTCAAAACTTTGTTTTATATTTATATTTTTAATTTTTACTAAATTATGGTTACATTGATACTTAATATAATTAGTTTGAAAATTTTATTAACTACTAGATATCGTGTTAATGTAGCGATTTTTTTTAAGAACCGAGAAATCGAACCGAATGATCCGTTTCAGAGGGGGCAGGTAAGGTCCGATTTTATTTTGTTAAGACTTGAGGTTCGTTAAAGTCCCACATCGGATATCTCTGAAAGAACTAAACACTATATTAAGGTCTAAGCTACTCCTCCTATCAGGTTGACCTTTTAGAATGGAACCTCAAGTCTTAACATGGTATCAAAGCAAAATCGGTCTATGGTGTGGGCCCCCTTATGAAAAATGATGACACGATTATAAAAATGATAATTACGAACCGATGAAAAATGAATAACGACATGATCCAAACGAAATGTCAGGTCGTGAGGAGGGGTGTTAAAGTCCCACACCGGATATCTCTGAAAGAATTAAACACTATATTAAGCTCTGAGCTACTCCTTCTATCAGGTTGACATTTTAGGATGGAAATCATCATTTTCATCATTTTCATTTACCCCAGTACCGCAAAGGCTCCCACCTCCGGAGGGGTAAGGGGGGTCGGATGTACGCAGTCTTACCCCTGTGCCGCTTCATAACAAAGAAGCGCAAACAGTTTAGTGAGCCATTTTTCTTTATTCCATCATATTCTCAAGCCAAAAAATAATGAATCTTTGGCTCCATTGCAAATGATGGAAAAACCTTTTAGGATGGATCCTCGCGGAAAAAGACCCAATTATTGTAAGGGATATTTCAACAAGTAGGACCTAATCATACTAATTTTCCAAAATTAAGACTATAGATTAGGGTAAGACTTAAGTACACCTGCTTTGACAAAATTGCCCTTCGTTTTTTTAGAACTTGCCCTTCATTTTAAAATCCTCTGCGCATCAAACAACTTCACCGATCGACACCCCTGCGCATCCCCTGCCCTTCGTTTCAAACAACTTCATCGATTCAGATCGATCGAATTACCACCGCCGCTGATTTCACGATGTTGAAATCACCGTCGCCGACGCACTAGATAGCTGCTCCGGTTGACTTCATCGGTCGCCACCGCCAAATGTTTCTTCTTCTTCCTCATCTTCTTCTTCTTCCTCTTCTTCTTCCTCTTCTTCTTCTTCTTCTTCTTCTTCTTCTTCTTCTTTTCTGATTTTGGACATTGATTTTGCCAATTTCGAACTTCTATTTCATATTTTCACAAGGCCACCAAGTACTCTGCAAAACGTTTAAAGAAACTAGATCCAAAATCAAAATTGCAAACACTAGACAATACATAGACATCAAAGAATCAGTAAACAGACAATAAGTTCTAATAATAGTTCAATAGCAAGCAATACATAGACAGTAAGTAGTCATTAAACAGACAATAGGTTCTGATAATAGCTCAATAGCAGAGCAGGTCACATGAAACAATATATGTATATACAATTCAATATATCTAATGATGAAATTACATCGAGTGGTTGTCAAAAACTCCGTAATGAAGCAAAATAAGTAATCTAGCCCTCTGTAAAATCGTCGAAGGCCATTAATGGTGGAGCCGTAGACTCCAGAGCCAAGATCCACCGGAATTTAGCCGATGTATCCGGCCAAAACCAGGTTGGTGAGGCCATGTCGATTGATTTCAAGCTTCCAGATCGATTTTAGTACTGGTGAAGCGGGAGAGACGGAAACGAGAGTTATGGAAGTCCCTGTATTTTTTTCTTCGGATGGAGTACTCAAGTCAAGGGTAAAAATGGGAAGTGAAAATATGATTTCCTAAAACATGACCATATAAGTCACACGCATGGAAAAAACATAAATAAGTTCTATTTTTGTAAACTTTCTATCTTTTAGTCCTACGGGAAGCAATTTTCTCTTATTGTAAATGGGTGGATTGCGGGCATCGATTATAATGACACTTTTGTGTACAAAGCTCGATTGGTTGTGTGTGCAAATCGGCAGATTGCGGGCATCGATTATAATGACACTTTTGCCCCCGTGGCAAAAATGGTCACTGTGCGAACTATTTTAGTTGTTGTTGCCGCACGACACTGAGAACTTCATAAAATGGATGTAGACAATGCATTCTTGCACGGTGATTTACGTGAAAAAGTCTACATGAATTAATTAGTTGCCGCCTGGATTTGAGTCCACGTCTCTCGGGAAGGTGTGTCGGCTGCATAAATCTCTCTAGGGGTTGTAGCATGATATTGTTGATTCATTATGACTATGTTTGCCTTTTTACTTTCTCTCTTTAGAATCATTGCTACTACATACTTCTCTCTATTCGGGTTCAAATAACTAATCAATTTCATATATACGTAGTATAAAAATATCATTAGCCAAAATAGAATATCATTGACTCTGAAAATCAAAGATAGTGAAGTTATGTGGGATGAAGGAAGTGTCAAATTATTTGATTAACCTAATTACTTTTTCAGGATCAAATCCGAATTAGCATGACTAATTCAAAACAAAACCAAACATGTAGCTAATCTAGTTCTTGCAACAAATTAAAATAGCACTTAGTTTGTGATAACATCATCGACTCATTCAAATGATTAATTACAAATATTTTTCCTTGAATTCACGTAAATGGCAACGATTATGACAAAGAGGTGAAAAAATGAATGAAGACAAGTGTCAGGTCGTGAGGTCTTAAAGAACGACATTCTGATTATCTCACGCTACCCCTCCTATATATCAGGTTGTCCTTTTACAATAAAATCTCGAGTATTAACATTCTGTAAAAACATAGACGACACTTTGAAGACACTTTTAGTTTTTTAAAAACTGATAAAGTAAAAATATTTTCTAATTCTCTAAACCTGGATTGCTGAATTGCTAAACATGTTTTGGTTTTCTGTTGTCTATTTTCTAGTTTTGTGGGGGGAACTTAAAACTTGTATCCAAGTGTTTTCTAAAAATGGAAGTAAACTAAATAGGCCTTGAGTCTTTACTTTCATTCCATATTAAGAGTACAAATTTGTAGTATAAATCATCCAAAGAAGACGACTAATTATCAAATCATCAACTTCATAATTCAAGCAAAACGTACAAATCCAATTCAAACAATGGGTAGTTGCAATATTGATGAGACAAAGGTGCCAGTGATAGACTTTGAAGACTTTCCAGTACAATCTCAGAAGCTCATAGAGGCATGTGAGGAGTGGGGCTGCGCAAGAATTGTGAACTGCCACAGCATTCTGCCAGCTTCACTCATGTCAGAAATGAAACAAGTGGTGAGGTCACTGTTTGATCTTCCACAGGAGATCAAGGAGAGGAATAAGCACATTCTTCCCATAAGTGGCTATGCTCCTCTCAATGTGATAAACCCTTTTTATGAATCCATGGGGATGTATGATATGTCCTCTCCTCAAGATGTTGAAACCTTCTGTAGTCAACTTGATGCCTCGCCTTCCCAAAGGTCTAACTTTCTTCCTTGATTAGATGATTTGAATTCCCTTTTCTTATACAACTTCAATTCCCTAGCTCTTTTAATAGGCCGGTGCAAGGTCTTCAACTTTTTCACTGTTCAGACATTCCCGTTCATTAAAATTTTGTCATTTTTTATTTTCGTAATAAATACATGCAAAGTACATACAAAGCACTTTGGAGTAGTACGTTAAACTTTGGCCAATGATTTTGATTAATATCCTTCCACTTGTGTGCAAGTTAACGGTTTTTTTTTATTTGAAACTGTTTCTAATAAGAACATATATATACACAAGTATATCATTTTTATAATATTTGTACACAAATATACCAAAAAAATCAAGATTGTTAAATTTTAAGTGACATAGGGAGTACAATAAATTCATATTTTGATATAAAAAATATTACTACCTCTGTACTCGAATATTCGCAACATTTTCCTTTTTTACCCATTGAAAAATATTTTCAACATTTTCTCTTTTTGTAAAGTTTTTTTTATTAAGAACTCTTACTTTTTTTACATTTTCATCTTTTTTTTTGGAATTTGTCATCATTCTCTCTCATATTTTACACTTAATCTACGATATTTACTACTCCTACTATTATACATTTCAACTTTGTGCAAAAGCATATCCCAAACATTTAATAAGGTGGGAGTATCAAACACAATTTTTTTTTCAATATAAAATATAAGAATATGAGTTTTTATACGTCTTATATATTACTAATAGTTATTAGAGTAATGTATACTCCCTATAATTAAGTAATGCTCAAAGTAAAAGTAAAACTTGTAATTAAATAAGAATACATATAGGAAATGCTTCAATTCCTATGTTTTATGGCGATGGATTTACTCAAATCCATTTTGGCTAGCTAGCTTATTTAAGTAATTAAATTAATTAAGAACAATATCAATATATATATATATAGTGTACGGAAAGCAAAAACTACTACCTAAATTGTTTTGCAAAGTTATTATCTTTTTGTCGATCAATGTTGTTGATAATTAATTCAATTTTAATAATAAAAATTACATATTCAGAAAGTAAATTAAAATATGTATAAAGTTGCAAAATTCAAATTAAAATTATATTAATGATTGATACCTAATTAAGTGAATAAAATTAGTTTGTTTAACCCAAAAAGTCAAATTTGTAGCTCAATTAGAGACAAAAAGAATATATATCCAATAATATATACTACGTATGTGACTATAATTACTTATGTACTGTTATCTTTAAGTTATGGAAAAGAGTCAAATAGGTCCTTCTACTATTTCAAAACTATCACTTAAATCCATACAATATGAAAAACATTGCATAAACCCATGTACTCTAAAAAACAATCATTTCAGTCAAATGGCCTGAAAGAGTGAAAAGTTACCTTTAATAGCAGGTCACTTTTCTCTCACTTATTTATTTATTTATTGCCCTTTTTTAATACTCCATTCCACTATTCCAGCCCATTTTTCTCATCCAGAAACAATTGCCTTCCAGGGGATTCGAACCAGGGACAAGGGGTGAAACAACAGAGCAGCATACCAACTTGACTACTTTCTTGATGTGTAAAACCATAACTCGAAATGTACTACTCCCTCCGTCCCTGAATTATCTTCGAACCTTCCTTTTTCGTTCGTCCCAAAATAATCTCCTCTTTCCCCTTTTAGCAAAGAATTTGTGGCTCACAACCATTCTTACACATTTCTCTCTCCTCTGCACAACTCTCCACCACACAAATCCCACTATCTTAATAAATGTGCCCAGCCGAAGTGGGAGAAAGATTAGGGACAGAGGGAGTAATACTCTAACGCCGCACACTATTATTGTTATTATTATTCAATATAACTAAATTTGTGATTATAATAATGAGAACTCTTCTTGTTAGGCCGGCCTGACAGGAACCTCCGTCCGGCCGAGCCCGTTTGGGCACCTTCCCGGTGGAATTTTTTGATGAAATTTTTTGAGCATGTTTTTCATCAAGCCTGGTTTATCCATACCAAATTTCAGCTAAAAGTTCAATCGGGAAGGCACTCAAATCATTTTTTGAAGTTGACTGCGTCAAAATATACATATAAAAACGCAGTCAACTTCAAAAAACGATTTGAATGCCTTCCCGATTGAATTTTGAGCTGAAATTTAGTATGGACAAACTAGACTTGATGAGGAACATGCTCAAAAATTTTCATCAAAAAATTCCACCGGGAAGGTCGCCAAAAGGGCTCGGCCGGACGGCTCTCCCGGTCAGGCCGGCCTGACATGATGATTTCTCTATAATAATAACTACAAGTATTTTTATTGATGTTATTATATTATACTACGTACTAATTAACTACAGAGTATTTGTAAGTGATTCAAAACATCTATCACTATTATTTATAATTTTAAAATATAAATATTATTTTCACATATCGTGTATCCAATTCTAAACATATTTTAAATTTTGTTGAAAAACTATATCCCTCCGTATTTAAAAGAACCATACATAAGGTTATGGCACAAGTTTTAAGAGAGAATAGTAGGGATAATGAATAGTATAGGAAAAGTAGGAGAGAAGGTGAAAAAGTAGGAAAGAGAGGATAAAAAGTAGAAAAAGTAAGGGTAATTGAGTAGTTTTAAAGGAAAAACTTAACAAAAAGAAAAGTGTATGGAACTTTTAAATACATCCCAAAAATGAAAGTGTATGGAACTTTTAAATAGGGAAGGAGTATGTTCTAGCTCTTTTTTTTTATTTATTCTTATAAGAATTATTAAATTTTGAATGAGAGTAAATTTTTACCATATAAGTTTAATCTGATATACAATTAATTATATTTTTTATTTATTTATTCACAAAATATTGACCGGTTTTCTGGACGGGTTGACTCCCCAATAATTATTGACCCAGCAAACGGATGGGTCATGGATCAAGCTGGATCAGTAATGTAATCATTATTGAGTCATGAGTCAATCTGGTAAATGCTAAAATAATCAGTCAATATTTAGTGAAAGAAAACATAAAATATAATTTATAATATATTAGATTAAAGGTAAAATAGCGTTAAATAGGAGTAAATCAGTTCGCAAAATGCATAAATAAGAATAAATGGTTGATCTATCCAAAATAAGACTAAAATATACTCTATATTCATATTCTACCCTTTAAAAATAAATTGTTTTTCAATTAACGTTAGTTTTATGTTTTGAATAATATGTGAACATAATATTTATATATTAAAATATAAATAATAATGTAGATGTTTTGAATCATTCAAAATAATATGTAGTTAATTAGTATAATATAATAACATCAATAAAAATACTTGTAATTATTATTATAATCACAAATTTAGTTATATTGAATAGCAATAGCAATAGCAATGGCAATAGCAATGGCAATAGCAATAGCAATAGCAATAGCAATAGCAATAGCAATAGCAATAGCAATAGCAATAGCAATAGCAATAGCAATAGCAATAGCAATAGCAATAGCAATAGCAATAGCAATAGCAATAGCAATAGCAATAGCAATAGCAATAGCAATAGCAATAGCAATAGCAATAGCAATAGCAATAGCAATAGCAATAGCAATAGCAATAGCAATAGCAATAGCAATAGCAATAGCAATAGCAATAGCAATAGCAATAACAATAACAATAACAATAACAATAACAATAACAATAACAATAACAATAACAATAACAATAACAATAACAATAAGAGTAATAGTGATGATGATGATGATGATGATGATGATGATGATGATGATGTGAGGCGTTAAAGTATAATTCCGTTTCGAGTTTCTTTTTTACTCAACAAGAAAGCAGTCGAGTTGGTAGTTGCTGGGTTGCTTCACGCGTTGTTCGCGGTTCGAAACCCCTTGAACGCCATTTTTTAGGAAGAGAAAATGGGCTGGAATGGAGTATTAAAAAAAGGCAATAAATAAATAAATAAATGAAAGAAAAAGTGACTTGCTATTAAAGGTAACCTTTAGGTAATTTGACTCAAATGATTGTTTTTTTAGAGTACATGGGTTTAGGTGATGGTTTTGTAACAATAGGAGGGCTTATTATTTGACCTTTTTTCCTTAATTTATTTATGGTGCGTTGTTAATTAATGCATGTATAGAGACATAATGATAAAGTACACAAAAGCTGCACATGAAGTAATTATGGAGATTGGGAGAAAATTTGGAGAAGGGCTAAGTTTGACCAAAGGAGATGTGTTTGAAGGATGGGCTTCCCAGCTCAGAATCATAAAGTACCATTTCAGGCCAGAGAATATGGGGTCAACCGGACTAGCAACCCACACCGACGCCGCAGTGCTTACCCTTCTGCATGACGACGATTGTGTGGGTGGACTACAAGTCATAACCAAATCAGGAGAACTTGTGGCCGTTGATCCCTTGCCTGGGAGCGTCTTACTCATCATCGGAGATGCGGCTGTTGTAAGTACTTTTAAAGATTCTCATCGGTTTACGATGTTTGATTGGTCATAAAGTCAACTAATCTCTATCAATAATAAGATTCTTTTTAGCGAATAAAATATACATAAGAATAATTTATATTAACCGGAGAATAGTTGACAGAAACTCAAGCTTAAGTGGAACGGATGTACTCATGTAGTATATGAATTGAATACAATATTCCCTCACCTCTCTTATATGGATATGTCCAAAAGACCAAAAGACGCTAGTTAGGGGCGATGAATGCATGTTTTCAATACGTACTTGCCTGAATGCATGATGCATGCTATGGGTAGTACCCGAGTACACACGTACAGTACGAACGTAGGTACATTTAGGTACGGAGCAAGGGGTTAGGAGTTGGTACATTAGTGTGGATCCAAATAGGATTAAGAGTTCATTTAGTAATATCGAAATTAGATTTAATTTGATAAAATTGATAAAATTATGAACTTCATGGTTGAAATGGTTCAATATGCTGAATTGTGAAAAATTATACTTCGTACTACATTCACTATATAATTTATTGATAAGATGAAGGAAAAAATTGAATGAAGAAATAGTTAAAATGATCTTCTATAGTAATTCCAGTCAATTCAATCAAAAAAGTAATTTCAACCTTAATTTTTTTTATTACTACATAATTCAGCGCGTGAAATCGAAAGTGACATGTTTGGTAAAAGTTGACAAGGATGACTTATAAGCTGAAAATCAGAGTTATCAAACGGACAGTAAAACATAGACAAAGTGTACAAACAGGAATTGTTATGTTTTATTTCTAAAGTATGACTTATTTGATCTTTTTAAAAGTATAAAATTTAGAGAAATTTTATGTGACTCATTCACTTCTATTTAGAGAAATTATTTCTTATATTTTTGTAGTACGATTAAATAAGGCCTATTTTAGGGAGAGAGAAAAAAATCAATCCTTTTTAAAATTTTATGATTTTACCTATGAATATACGAAGTATCTAAATAGGGAGTATTAAATAAGTTCATACGGAGTATTTTATACGCTATTTATCTATTTCTTCGATCTTTGATTGATATTTCTATTTTAAGATTTGGAGCAATGGGAAATTTCACAATGCAAAGCATAGGGTGATCTGCAAGGACACGGACGCAGCTGATCGGTTCACTATAGCTTCATTCCTCCTGGGTCCAAAAGAGGCAGCAATCGAAGCGCCACCGGAGCTTCTCGGGCCTGATCGGAAACGACTCTACGTTCCCGCCACATTCCATGAATTAAGGAAGATCCGTGTGCATAACAATCTGCATAATGGTGAAGTTCTTGATCTTGTGCGTGCTAAACCATAATACTACTTCTAGCTGGTGGTGGACCTTAATGGCATGCCCTGTCTGTCTTTCCAGTACACATTCATGGGCCTGGTGTTGAATTTTTGCAAGAACATTAGGAGACAGCTTTTTCTGATATGACTACTTATCCCTCATGTCATGTGATGTTATATATGAAGTTTTCAAACTATATTTAGTACACATAAAGTAAAAAGCTTTGCTGGATATAGCAGCATATATAGCACTCTTCTGTTAGACTCATACATGTGTCTTGAAGTAGATTGTTTTCTTGAAGAATAATACTGAAAGATGCACTAGTTGCATGAGGCCACACAGTAAAAGGAAGATGCTAACAAAGTAAGTAACAGTGACTGCTTGGTGCTCATCAGTACATGTCCTTTGTACTGGCTTCACCATCCTTCTGGCAATTTTTGTCTCTCAAGCCAAGTAACAAACATGAGATGTCTTTGTGAAGAAAATTCAAAGAGAAATAAGAGAATGTGTCATGTGTCATAGACACAAGATGTCTATCGCATTACTCGTTTGCATGCACATGACATAGACAGATGTATGCGCAAAGTACAAAGACTAACAATCAGTCTGGCAAAGATTAGTTTCCAAATCTAAATCAAACTAGTATCCACTTTCCTCCCTCACAGGTATCCAAATTGTGTGACAAAACACGATGTTATAGAGACAGGTATTTGTACCCGTGGTCTAGGGAGCGCAATTGCTAGAGCACGGAGTTCCAAGAAAGTGCCCCTTCATCCAATGGCGGGGCCAGGTTTGACAGGTTACAGGGGCCGGGGCTTAAAGAATTTATATAGCAGGGGCCAAAACTTAAATTTTCACTATATTTTTTAGTACTTATAAATATTTAAACATATATATACATCACAATTTTTTTCTTGCAGGGGTCGTGGCCACCGCCAGCCTCCCCCTATCTCCACCCCTGCCTTCACCTCAGGGCAGATTGATTTGAATAATGAATAAGGAATAGAGGTATCTCTATATTGAATGTTTCTGTATAGAGAGTCAAGAAGTGAGGATTTCTTAAACTGAAGTCTCATTTTTCGCGACTTTCTAAGACCAGTCATTTTTATTCAGCTTGTTCGTGTTCAATTAATCAGGAGTCGGGACTTGACGGGCAGCAGAGTACACTCAGGGCCGTTTTTTAGGCGGTTTAATAGGTTATCCAGAACAGGGCCCCAGATTTAAGGGGCCCCATATTTTAAAAAATTATTAGTAATTATATTGATATTATATAGATACATCATTTTTTCGTTGGTCCTTTTACTATTTTAGTTCTCTTTTAATGAGTATTCTATTGATTTGAGTATATATATTTCGATTGAGAGTTTTTTATAATTTTTTATATTAATTTGGGGCCCCGCTTTTACATTTTGAACCGGGGCCTCCAAATTCATTAGACGGCCCTGAGTACACTATTCTCCGTAATTGGATGGAGACGTTGGAAAACAATCCATACCATAGGATTTTAGAGTCATGGTCATAGACTTATAGTTGTCAATAGCGAGATATGGTGTGTGCCATATGCACCATGAAAAATGCTTGTGCCATGGCACTCCCATGCGCCATGGGCCCATGACAAGCTTGGTCGTTGTCAGTCCCCCGTCCCAAATTAGCAGTGTGGCAGTTAGGCAGCTCAGGCATTGATCAATGTTTAGTTGTGTATGTGAAGAGTTTACATGTTTTTCAAAAGGATTTTCTTCACACCAATCACACATACATGTTTACAAATGTGTAAAAGCATCATATTTTCAAGTAAATACATGTTCTTCACATACACATGTGAAGAGTTTACATGTTTTTCAAAAGGATTTTCTTCACACCAATCACACATACATGTTTACAAATGTGTAAAAGCATCATATTTTCAAGTAAATACCCTTCGTTCGCCAGAAATGTTTCTTCACGCACATGAACTTTTCATTTTTAGACATTTGTTTCCGCGAAAAGAGATACTCCCTCCGTCCCGAATTATAAGATATTTTTCGATTTACGTTGTTTGAACGACGATAAAACAAACGGATCCCTGTCTGCACTCAAATTATTTTTAGGAAAAAAATTACATATTCAAAAACTACATTAAAACCGCTACAAAACCTGCAAAAAATTCAAATTTCATAAAATTTTGATATATAAAGTAAGAGATTAAAAGTGATTTGTGTTGATCAAGTGAATAGTAAAGACATCTTATAAAATGGGACCGAGGGAGTACTAACTAAGGTTTCTCCTAACGTCACATCATTCACAATTACAATATTTGTTACATGAATAGGTGAATATGTGATGAAACTAAGAGTAGAGACAAAAAAATCATACATTGCAATTCTACATGCACATGCATAGAAGCAGGAGACACCCTCATCTTTACTAGTGAGGCTTTGATGTGAGGCCCGTATGGAGGGTTCAGGCCCCACCACAAGAAGACTTATGCTTTAGCAGAGCTTATGTGTGGGGTTGATAATATCACTCACGTGGCCTTGCAAGCCAAAGAGAACTAAGAGCTCGGAGGCGAGAGGAATAGTCATGTATGACCAGAAGGGATCGTGCCGATTGCCGTGTTGTTAATATCCTGTGCATTTGCTGCAATATCTGTTGCCTCAAGTGATCTGCCTGATAAATTAAATAAATGCCACACAGAAATAAAATTTAAAAAACGGTTCAACCATATATCCTCATTAACAACAAAAACAAATGACACACATATTAACCTTTCAGTTAATTAAGGTATGCATGTCTATTTGTGTAACCTTTGAGAAGTGAAATTGTTTTATTGGTCCCCATACTTTTCTCTTTGGCGGGGGAGGGGGGCTGCTACTTCAGTCTTTTTTTGGGCGACATCTAATTAGCATATTAAGCCTGTGTTTGCCGGGAAAATAAACATTACACATCTTTTTTATCTTTTTATTTTTTATCTTTCTTACGTTCTTCATCTTTTCATCCTTTTTACCTTATAATTTTATCCCTTTTATCTTATCATTTTTATCTTTATCTTATCTTTTTCATCTTTTCTTATCTTTTTATCTTCCGTATCTTTTTTTATCTTTTATAGCTCCGATTTCATGTGTCAATTCATGTTAGCCGACCCCAAACTTTTTGGGACTAAGGCTTGGATGTTGTTGAATCATCCAAGTATCCAACATACTCCGCAGTAATTTTCTCATGTTATTTTATCTAGTTTTATCAACTTGATGGAAAACGCAGAAAACTGGTATTTTGTAATATTGTTCCAGCTTGATGGAAAACGCAGAAAACGCATAATTATCAACTTGATGGAAAACGCAGAAAACTGGTATTTTGTAATATTGTTCCAGCTCATCTCCTTATGTATATGGGACTAAAATCGCATATAACCCAAAGTTACAGGCCAAAAATGAAATGTTTTCATAGTTAAAACATTATAAAGTTCAAAAAATATCCAGGTTGTCATTCAGTTAGACATAATAATGAATCACATAAGTATTGGTAAAGATTAGATTACAAAGTTGTTACCTGGCGAACGAAACCTTCAAGAGTGCCTAATTTTCCCATGGCCACAGCCATTTGGCCCATGTAGTTAGCAACATTACCTCCTGATAAAGGGGCTGCTGAAGTTCCTTTAGCCAAAGTTTCAGCAAGAGATTGCTGCAATGCATCCAGTCCTTGGGAAAGAGCATCTTCTGTGTCAATAGATGATTGCTGCAAGTTGTTTATGCCTTCTGTTTGCTGCTCCGTTAGAGGCTCCAGATGATTCACTATAAGCTAGAGCAAGGAAGGAAGGTTCATCAAATGGATCCCATTCGGCAACATATGATCAGCAAAATAGCAGCTTATACACAACAGCAACATTATACTAATTTTTTCTATTTTAATATTAACTCTGTAGCCATTCTTGCTAGCAGCTTATACACAACAGCAACATTATACTAATTTGGGAAAACTGTCAAATAGGTCCTCGAACTTTCATAAAAAGGTCAATTAAGTCCTTCTATAGGAGGTTCTGTCCGGACGTCGCGATTTGGGGCAGTTCCCGGTGGAATTTTTTGATGAAATTTTTTGAGCATCTTATTCACCAAGTCTAGTTTACTCATACCAAATTTCAGCTAAAAATTCAATCGGGAACACATTCAAATTAATTCTTGAAGATAACTGCACATTTTTGCGTTCTCGAATTAATTTGAATGCGCTCCCGATTAAATTTTTAGCTGAAATTTGCTATGAGTAAACTAGACTTGATGAATAAGATGCTCAAAAAAATTCATCAAAATATTCCACTGGGAACCGCCCCAAATCGCGACGACCGGACATAGTCTCCTATAGAAGGACTTAATTGACTTTTTTATGAAAGTTCGAGGACCTATTTGACAGTTTTCCCTACTAATTTTTTCTATTTTAATATTAACTCTGTAGCCATTCTTGCTAGTTGGATTCTTAAAGGGTCAGTCGGGAACCGGGAATGTGCTAGTAAAGAGAATAGGAGTGGAAATAGAGGGGGGATTTTGAATGAGAAAAATGTAAGGAGAGTTTTCCTTGAATATTACCTAAATAAAATATATGGACAAAAATGTGACCAAAGTTACGATGAGTATACGGTCATAGTCATGAGTGTAAGATTGAACATAATCATAGTCACTAAAGTGGCGGTGATTATAAGAAGTATAGGAAGTCACATTTCTGTCAACTGCACTCACTTCAGTCATATATTCGTCATGGTTTCTTTATGTATATAAAGACTAGACTATAAGTTTAAGCATATGCTAACAATTTTAAACATTAATGATATTTCATTACCCATAGCATTTTTTTCTTACCATAGCAATTTCCAGGATCTAAACATGCCTATTAGGTCTGTTTGGAACCCCAACAAGCTAGGTAAAGAAAATAAGAGGGAAAACTGATGCAATATTCCAAAGAGAAAAATTGTGGAAACATAAAATATGTGCTCAAACTTGAACTGAATAAACGAATTTAGATGTTTGCTCAAACTCATTTTATTTTTTTACTTCTATTAGATGAAAGACAAAAACCAAATAAACCTGATGCGCCCCACTGGGAGTAGGGTCTGAGCAAATATATCTTTGAAATGTCTAAATGTGTAAACCTTTGAAATGTATTAATCTTAGGTGATTCTCCTTTCCAATTTAAA